AACTAGCAAAATCACTATTTTAACCCCCACTATTGATATTTCAACCTCCCATTATTTGAAAAGTGTAAAATTCAAAAATCTTTTTTAGTCAGTATCTGGATGTGCATTGAAGACAAATCTATCTGATGTACTAAATTATGCATTTAATGGTTGTAAAGCCACCTTGATCAAGAAGTCCATCAAGTTAGAGATGTTAGTGCAGTATGAAATGAAATAAATATTCTAGACAATAGTTTTAGTGAAAATACACTTATTTAGTGTTTACTGAATAATCAAAATCGGTTTACTGCAAATAATTTTCTTATAAACTCTAGGGGAAAAACAAGCAAACAGTAGTTTTACATCCATTGTACTTGCAAGATTTAGGTTTAATACAAAAAAATGTATTCCATTTTGAAAAGCAGAATGTCAAAACTAATTTTTCATGTTTACCTGGGAAGGATGTTTTTAGTTGTATCGCTTAGTAAAGATAACCACTGATTCTGACTGGTTATCTATTGTGAATATGAAGCTTGACGTCACCCATGTGACTTATTTAAATTTACCGCGAAATTAAGGAAGTGGCATTGCAAATAATTTATTTCTGTCACTAGTCTTCTGTATGCGAGTTATTATTACGTTGAAAATTATGGATTTCTAAAGGTGAACAAAATATTCCATAATTTAGCATATAAGATTGCACATCATGCCTTATTGATAAAAATAATATATTTCAACTTTAATTCTTATTATTCGTCCTTTAAGCTCCTAGTAGAACACAAGGCTTCAGTAACACGCCTCCATTTGACACCCTTTCATGCAAACTTTTGAACCTGGCTCTACGACTGCCCACAAGCTTCAATTTATTCCTCACATGATCTCCTACGTGTCATCCTCAACACGGAAGCCCAACTTGTCGTTTCCCATTTGGTTCCCACTCGAATAACTGGCCTGGCTCGTCATGTCCCCAATCGGCCTTCTCAGTGTATGCCCAATCCAATCCAAGCCATCTCCACTCTCTCCTGCAGATTTGTTGGGCAATGTGTTCTCAGTTGAGACGTTGCTGGCCGGAGTTCCTTGTTGTTGATTATTCTCATTATTCTGGCCATCTGATCTTCAGTGTCAGTATGGAGTGAGCGTAGGCCACAGCTGTTGATTTCTGTCTGTGGTTTGTTGGAAATGCTTTCTGTAATATGCCGAGTCTCTCAACCATCACATGAAAGCACTGACTTGACTGACATTGGTGTTGAAAATCCGGATATTGTTGACACTATATGCTGAGTGGAGTGGAGTGGAGTGCAGTAGATCTCTACACTGATTTCAGGTTGATGAAATCCTGTCTCAACATCTTTCCGATCCTGGTTTTCACATCCTCCCTCATCTGTGCCACCTGTGATTGCAACGATGCTGCCTGCCTGCCTGCCTAGATAGGTGAAAGAGACTACTTGCTTTAGATCTCCCTCGTTGGTGGTGGTTGGTGCTTGTTGCTGTTGTTGTTGTTGTTGGTTGGTTGGTTGTGCATCTTCATCACCTCTGTCTTCTCTACGTTCACCTAAAAGAGGACCCGTCTCCATCTTCGCTGTCCTGCCCCTTCTGTCAACTTGTTCGATTTCGCCTGTAGATCTCCTAGTATGTGTGACATTAGACATAAGTCATCGGCGAAATCCAAATCTCCGAGGTTCATTTCCACAGTCCAGCTAGCGTATCCCCCTCTTCTCGCTCCTCACTGTTTCTTGCATGATCCACTCCACACCACTCCACTCCACTCCACTCCACTCCACTCCACTCCAGTCAACCACAATCAGGAAGATCATCGGTGATAGAATGCGTCCGAAAACCTTGTCTTGCTCCTCTCCTCACACCAAAGGCATCAATTAGCTTTTCATTGTGAATCACTTGGCATGCAGCACCTTGCACCTTGTTCATATTGTTCATATTGTTCAACGAGGTTGATAAATGTTTGTGGCACTAAAACCGTAGTGTTGAAGCAGCTGCCTGCCAAATCACTTCTCAGTCAAGGCTGTCTAATGCCTTTTCAAAATCCATGAAGTTGAGGTAAGGTGAGGAGTTGACTGCCATTCTATGCTCTGTTCTATGATGATGCGTAGTGCAGGGTAGCGTTGCAATTTGATCCACACATGATTTGTACTTCCTGGATCCTGCATGTTCTGATCATAGTTTTACATCCAGTGAATCATTTAGTCTCTCCATGATGATGCGGGTTGATATTTTACTTGGGGTGGGTGAGGACAGCGGCATGATTCCACTCCAGTTCTTACAAAGACTTAGGTCTTCCTTCTTCGAGAGTTTGACTAGTTAGCCCTTCTTCCAATCTGTAGTTAGCTTTCTTTCCTTCCAGACCTTCTGCAGTAGTGGTGTGAGCATGTCCGCTGCTGATTTCTCTGCGTGTGTTTTCAGTGCTTTTGGTGAAATTCCATTTTGTCCTACTGCTCTCCCGGCTTTCAGTATTTGCATGGAGTTCAGCACTTCTGCTTTTGTCGGAGGGTTTGTGTTCACTGGTAGTTCTGTGGCTGGGATGCTGGTGATATTTGTGTACGAGTTGCAGGTGGTGGTGGTGGTCGATTGAAGAGTTTTCTGAAGTGGTCAGCTCATTGTTTCCTTTGTTTCTCTTCTTTGGTGGCACATAAGTTTTTTTCACCATAATTCATTGGTTTCATCTGCATTGATCTCTTCCCATATAGTATTTTTGTTATTTGACATAGTGTCGTCATGTCTCTGTCTCTCCTATCAGCAGCCTGTTCTGCTTCACTTGCCAGTGTGTCGTAGAAGTGTGTTTTGTCTTTCTGTGCACTCCTCTTCACTTCTTTGTCCAGTGTTTTGTGCGTTGTACTCAGTTCCTCATTTTGTTGTGCATCCTTGCACTGGTTCATCTTCTGCTTCACCATCTTCCTCTGCCTGCTCTATCAGCTCCCATGTGTCCGTCGAGATCCGTTCCTTGTCATGCCTCTTCTTTCTTTCTAACACGGTTATGCAGGTTTCCTTCCACATTGCTTTCACAGAGTTCCAGTGTTCTTCCACACAGGTTTCCTCGGGGATGTTTCCTACTGTCTTCCATTTTCTCGTGATGGCTGACTGACGCTGTGTCCTATGTAATTTCGTCTCTCAGTCTCTGTTCTAGGTGTCCAACTTGAACTGTGGCCTATCATCCATCACCAGCTCCTTCGAAGGCTTCAATCTGATCTTGAAGGTTTCTTGGAGTTGGTAGTGAGTGGTGTGAATCCACATCTGCTCCACTTCTTGATCTGATCCTGTGTCTAGTAGACTGGCTGCGTCTCCACTTTCTTCACATTGAGATGAAGTTGGTCTGATTTTCAGTGCAGTGTGTCCCGGTGTCTGGTTAAATCCATGTCGCTCGCTTTGTGAATATCCTTGTGTTTGTACATACTGCATCGCCTCCAACCGCCAAATCGTTGAATGCTTAGAAGTCTGTAAACAGCTCTCCATTCTCATTCATCACTTCACAAACGAGTGCTTCTCAACACATGATTACTTCTCTTCCTTTGTTGTCTGCTCTCAACTTGGCCTTCATGTCGCCATCTGGGATAGGATCTCATCTATTACTGATTGCAGTTGTCTGTAGAACCCTTCCTTCTTCTCTTCATCTGCATTATTTGTAGGTGCGTAGCATTGTACGATTGTTTGAGTTGAATCTTGCTGTCATGATCCAGCAGGGGGAGATTGGTCCTCACTGCATGAGGAAGAGTTATCGATGCTCCTGGAGACCTCATGATAGCCACTCGAAAACTCAGTGTGCTCGTGGTTGTCATCTGGGTGACAATATTGGAGTAGATTATTGACTCTGCAGTTGACAGTTTGTAGAGTCTACTTCCATTACATCTGCTTATCCCTCACAGATTCCTAGCATATCTGTGCCATACCTTCTCATCTCTTTTGCAATCTTGGCAGCCTTGCCAGCCAGTCGGCTTCAAACATCGTGCAGACATTCCATATCTCCATCCTTACTTTCGCTTTCATCGACAGAAGCGAAGATATGTCGGCCAATTGGCTTCCCGAAGGCTTTCATCAACCGGCACCATTTAGTCTCCCCGATTCCAGCGAGGAATGAGTTTGTTTTTGTTTTTTACATTTTGTCTGTGCTTTGAAGTTTCTGTAGTGGTTGGATCGGTTTTACTGGGTATGGTTGCTAGCCCTGTGCCGACCCTTCCTCTTTATCCGGGGTTAGGGCGGGCTAGCAATTTGGGCGATGTTATGTGTTTATACACTTCTCATAACCTGTACTTAGATTGCAGGAGTATAGCTGAAATACTTCTGTGTTTGATGTTTCATTGTTCACAGACTATGATGCAGTACAACACACTGACGTAGATATGTTTTAATGGTATGAATGGAGTTGCTCGTTTGTAATTACGATAGGCCTAAAATTCGTTACTTGAGAGTAAAACGAAATTTAGATAATAATTGGCAAGTTTTTCATTGACTTCAGCATTTACAAATGTTCCTGACTTTTGACATCTGCATCTTTTTATCTAGAAAATCTGGAAAAATCACTTATCTTCTGTTGTCATGAGATCCATTATTTTGATGTTTGAAATTAAGTTAACTTGTGGATCAGGCTGAGTTGTTATCGCCATTAGCTCACTGAAAATACGGTCGGCCCCTTGACTTTAAATATGTATTAGTTCTGAATTATTGCCACTTTTAAAATTATTTCATTTTGTTCTCAAAACCTATACGTTTCATACAGCCTTGATTTAAGTGATTGATTTGTAATAACACTCTTTTTAGCAATTGGTCGAAAACGCAAATTTTATAAATGTCTGGAAATAAAATATGCACATACTTGCACAGACAAGTGAGCTCCACACTTAACATAAATAGTGTGTACACGTGAGCACCAGAATCTATGGACAGGTTTGACAGAGAGAAGTGAAGTTGTACATTGGATACAAATTTCAACACACAAGCTATATATATATATCTTGAGACTGCACTACTGAATACCCTTTTGATTTTACTTATAGTATTTGCATGGTTTTTTCATGGGATTGGTTGAATCAAAAATTAACGGATTTACATCCACATCATCCTCAGCGGAATATAACTCACCTGCAAAGACTGAATGTGAAGAACAATTTCTCAAACACGACAGAAATTGTGGCATGGATTTAGTCAACAATAATTACGTTGATTTGCATAAAGACAAAATTCCCAGCGCAACAGTGAAAAAGCAAACAATTTTGTGGAAAAATATCAGCACTACTAATAAACCTTGCACAACATACTACCTAATTGATGATTCCCTTGAATGTGCTAAAGAACCACCACCCCTTATGAGCAATTCAAAAGATTCAGATAGCAGTATCTACAGTTGTAAAAGCAGAAAACAAGTCAGAGTTAATAAACCTGGGAAGGAATGTCTCGTCTTTAAACACTTACCTCTCAAAAATGATGACAGTTGTGATTTGGCCAATCATGAGTGGAAGATAATAGCAACGAGATTATCTAAAGCTCCTCAATCTCCAGAAACGCTTCCGGGAAACAGTAAGTAATTTTACATCTTTTATCATTTAACTTTTAGTGATGAGTCTTAAAACCAACAGGAATAGAGCATTGAACATTAGTTTACATATTGTTTAATGATAGCATTATTAACTTCTGGAAATTATAGATTCTAATTAGGATGATCAGAAATGAAATGTTTTTGTGATCTGTTCCTCACTTTGTCCACAATTAATGCTCTTAATCCAATCCAGCACCTTTAGATAAATTATTCACCGTTATATTTCCACACTTATTCACACTTTGTAATTTAAATTATTTTTGAGTTAAAGGATTTTATCAAACTGTCCATTGTTTCCCTTCATAAGTAACCTATTACCATGGAAGTCAGTACTATAATCCAATGACTTTATACATATTAAATACCAAATCAAGAAGTTAGCGATGTAAATTACGTCGCTTCAGTAGACAATCGGTCATTGCTATAATTATTGTTAATTTTATTAGAGTGTACGCAGATACCACTTACATATTGAAATAATTCACATACACTCTAACAGAAAAGTTACTGGTTTGGAACAGCAGTTGCATTATTCCTAGGGATTATTCATCTGTTCCTGTTAGTAGCATTCAAAAACTAAGACTATGTTTACGATAACCCTAATTATTTTGCAACAAGCTGTTTTTCGTAGCTGTACATTAGTTAAAATGCGACTGGAAAGAGCAACTGTTTGCAGTGTATTACAGACCAAGGATTAGAGTTCACAAAGTAACATAAGTAGATTGGAAAAGGAGTTCGGAGTATATTGTACAGACTAGATAATAGCCTGAAATAATAAATTGTAATAAATTTTTTTATGGAAACAAATTATCTGGCAGAACTGCATTCTTAGAAGAGCCAAAATTTTATTTGACACTTGGAGAACACAGTGGCCTTCAAGTTCAATAAACGATAGTGTATATTTCCTAATGAATACACATTTGCGGCTTTGATTCGGAATCTAAACTGTTTTGTGCACAAAATTTAATATTCTGCATAAGAATGAAAACACCCAGCTAACTTTAATATGATTTATGCACTAGCAATAATTGTTAGACTGTTACTCAGATCACATAAATAGGCTTCAGTAATTAGCTGCGAATAGATAGTAATTTTATACATTTTCTGATTTCCATGTATTTATTCTGACTGTAGTTTATTGGAAGACTGTTTGACGCTTTTGTTACTCACTGATCCTATTTTATGAAATCTTTTGTGAGTTGGTTTTACATCACGTTTTCTCAAAAGATACTAGACACATTGAAACCCAAAATGTTTAGCTCATAATTCCCATAGACCTCGGAGATTTCAAGGTAAAGTACCAAACTTCAAAGGAATGCATTAATTGTAAATACCTTCTTAGCCTTAGAAATATGATGACTTGTTAAGTATATGCAGTTAAAACTGTACACTCAGAACTTTCATGTGTTAAGTTCTACAATGCTTGTTATAGGAACTGAAATGTTCAGAAAAGAAATTGCATTCGAACTGACACTTGTCATCAATTTAAGCTATAAGTGATACTAACTCTAATACCTAAAAATGCCTCACATTAGTCAGCAAAATATATTGAACAGACGACAAATCTTGATGGTTGAATTAGTTTTATTTCTTAACATTTATGATGTGGGTTCTATATGAGATTGTAATCAAAAGCGGTATTCAGTGTAGTATTTTCATGCTGTATAACAAGAAATGATAGCAAAAATGGTTGATGAGACATCAAAGACTAACAGTGAACATGAATAAGCTTTTCAGTGATGTGACACTTCCTTCAGCTTTGAAGAATTTTCAATTTGTACGAATTATTTCACTGACTTTGATGGCGAATGATTTGCTACCGCGGCTTAATCCACTCATGATGTAATAAAAGTCGAATTCCGATCCAAAACAGTTGAATTCGACTTATCTTGTTGTCCACTCAAAAAACGAAAAGATACGTTTGCAACCAATGATGGATAGTGGCTAGTAGTGGTATCCAGGAAGCGGGTTTCGCAGCTGTCGTAACTCATTGGCCTTGCGGGTAACGTCCTGGGGTTTGAGGTGATTGGTTCTAGGTTCAAATCTGAGTGCAACAACATCATCCTTTGGGAGGCAGGTACATTCAGCTGACAAGCCCTAAATAGGATAAAACACGCGTAAAGGGTTCCTTTGCTAACAACTACCTATCACTGGATCAAATTTGAAAAGTACCAACAATATCAGGGCATCTGCAAAACAGCCCTTATATGAACAGTGGCCGGTGGATTCGGTGCAGTCTAAGATGGAGATTCAAAAGCTATAACGTCCAGCAAGATAAATTTACCTTCTGAAATGACTCGAAAAAATTAATTCGTTTCTGTCCCTTCGATTTTGTTGATTCATTGTCTTTACTTTGGATTTGAACTATGACAGATGATTTTATTGAAAGACATTCATAACATATAAGCAAAACTGATATGTCAAATATGTAGAAAGTGATCATATCAAAAATAATTAAATCAATAAATGATTTTCACCATCAATTTGAACGTTGTATCTCAGCACTAGTATTTATTATCCAAATTTGTCTAAATCTGTTTTTCAATTAAGTGAATATCATTTTTAATTAGCATCTTCATATTTGAAATCAGATGTCCTTATATCCTGCTGACGGTTTTTCATTCTGTCTAATTCTAACGTATAAGCAGTAAAATATTGCTAAGATGACTGTGCCATTTGAGTTTTTGTCACCAACACTTTGTACCTTCAAAGCTTTTCACCAGAGGCTGTTTTATGCTAAATCTCTGAAACTCTTATTTGACAGTTTTGAACTAGTTAACAAACTTCAGGAGACACGGAAGATGATTTCTAGTGTTGATAAGGTTTAGATGAGGATGACTGTTTTACTTAGTATCAATCTTAGATAGCCAATAACTTTTAAAGTATTCAATGGGTTTTAGGTATACCTTTTGAAAGTGGGATACTTAAAATTTATTTGATTTATAAGTGCACCAGACACCAACCGATTCCAAAAAAAACTCTTCATACTACATTCCAAATTAATGCAATACACCCGTATGTGAGAAAACAAAAACATTCTTTGCTATATGATAGACCATTTGTTCTATTGACACGACTTTTTCTCTATCTCTAATCAGCTGAAGACAATAAATACCCGTATGTGTGAAAGTAACAACAATAGCATTCTTTTTTACAACTACGTCGAAAAAAATATATTTGAAAGTGGTTATCTGTCAACCTTTATCTGAACACTGGTTGGCAAAATCTAAGTATTTGACGTATACTCATAAGTTAGTTGCTTGTGAGTCTGCTATGTATTATTATGCTTCGTTAAGAGGTCAAATAGTGACCCTTCACCGCCTAACGAATAACTAAGATTCAGAATCAAACTATGCTGTCTAATTCTCAACATTAAGATAATGCATGATGTTTACTGATTCACTTCATGTGCCTATAAGTATATGCTTAGATAACTGTTACATGAAGTAATGGAGGGTATTTTGCAAGTATATCTGAAAAGGCAGATGAATATCAAATTTTAAGCTGGTACCTGGAATGATAGATTTGATGATGTAACCAGAATAAGGGTTGAACCTCTCTGTGCTTCAACTTTCAGGATGAGCGACTTATAATCTCTGACTTAGACAAATAAAACAGTCATTTGTTGGTACATTAAAAAAAGGACTGCATAATTTTGGTATACGTCCTTCACTGTGGATAGTAACTTATCTATATGCAAAAAGTACTACTCCTGTAAATGATACAGAATAAAATGACTAACAGTATGGAGTGGCAAGATGATACATATTCGAAATCCTTAACCTGAAAAGTTAATTTTACCTAAGTTTCGTACTTTTTGGTACGTATTAGAAACGCATTTATGAAATCATGAGGCACCAAGTCATTGACAAACAAACCGGTTACTCTCTGATGTTCGATTCCTGTTTGACTTCAGTAGAGCCACTCCCAGAATTTATTATTGGTGGATTACACTTCAGTGGAGTAAAACAATTTTAAGCCGTTTTTAAAAGCTGAAGCTATCTTCAAGACAAAAACAGGCGAGTTCGATGAAAAATTTCCATCATAGAGAAAGAACAACGACTGAAGCAGAATAGCATACTACATTTTTATTTACCCTGTTCCTCATCAGCTGATTGCAACTTAAAATCATTCAAACATCATAGTATAAAAGAACTAGAAAATGCTTTATTCAGGTTACATGAAGTTGTTTGACAGGTAACAACATGGTGTAACAGAGAAACAAACATCCAGATAATGGTAACTGAATGTGCTATGAAATCTCAAGTATGTGTGTCTCAACAGAAAGTTCGAGAAGAGAGCATGAATATTCCTAAAAGACAAGCAGCTGATGAGAAACCCAAGAAATAAAATGGTTCCATTTTATTCTTCTCTAGCTGTTGCTTTGTCTCCACTCAGGTTCATGAAGGTGAATATGTGTATGAAATATCTTCTATATTACTTATTCACAGACGTAGTTGTAAACTTGCTATGTATCTTTTGTCAATATTAATGGGACTGCTTACAGTCATACTTAAAGACTGCCAAAAAATCCAAGGTGCCTCCTAATTTTTCACCGTCTTGTCATGGTTTTGCCGAATAGTTGTAATTTCCCAGTTCCTTCACTTCAGGAATACACTCTTCACTATTCGTTAAGTTTGTATTCCCTTGTTGAAAAAGTGAGTTTCTGGCCTGGAATGGTTGTCATTCCACTAGATGGTTGACATCACCAATAGTACATGTTACAACGACGCAACATATAAAATGAGAACTAAGTGACCGACGGAACACTAATTGCCAACAAGTAGTTGAGTCTCAAGGTTGCCTGGATGATCAACATGATGACTACATTTTTAAATAGTTTGGATATGTTTTAGTTAAGTAGCCATTTATTCTAAATCAGTATCATAGTCTAGACTAAGGTTACGTTTCAAACAAGTCCTAACGACATTTGTAGGTAGAGAGAAATAAACTCAACGTGTCCGTAAATTAGCAACAAGAC